TATATAAATATATATATATATATTTACAACAGAGACAAACAAACAAATAAACAAATATACAAACAAATAAACAACTATATATATAAACAAACGAACAAATAAGTTAACAAATATATGAACAAACAAATATATAAACAGAGAAACAAACAAACAAATAAATAAACAAATAAATAAAAAGAAGAGATTAAGTCGCCTCCTCTTTAAACAAATAAATAAATTATTTATTTATTTATTTGTTTGTTTGTTTGCACTTCGTAAAGAAAGACTTCAATTGTTAAACTTATTCAGCATTATATATATACAATATATATATATATTTATATGCATATTTATTTATTTGATTTATTTATCTATCTATAAACGAATAAACAAACTAATAAAATACTTACTTCCCTACCAACATTCTATTTAAATATTAATAAACTACTTAATACACTAATTAATTAATTTATTTTATTAATTACTTAATTAATTACCTAATTAACTAATTTATTTGCTTATTAATTAATTAATTAATCTATTTATTTATTTATTTATGTCTAGAAAGGAGAGGCTGCATCTGGTGTTTGAATTTGTTGAAAAAAATTTGATGGAGTTCATCGAAGCATCTCCAGGAGGTGTTGACGTGAGCTGCATTTATTTATTTTTTTAATTGTTTTTATTCTTTTATCTTATGCTTTTATTAATTAATTTATTAAATAGATAATTCATTTGTTTGTTTATCTACTTATCTATTTATTTATTTATTTATTTATTTATTTATTTTTTTAATTAATTTATTTATTTTATTTATCTATTTTATTTATTTATTTATTTTATCTATCTATATATTTATCTATTTATTTATTTTATTTACTTCTTTTATTATTTTATATTATTTTATTTTATCTTTAGACTGTTAATAAGTTTATCGCCTCTAATAAACTCTTGTTTATTTTTTTAAACTTGTATATTTATATATTTATTTGATTATTAATATATTTGTCTATCGTAATAAACCCTTTTAAATTCTTTTTAATTTGTATATTTATATATTTGTTGATTATTAATATATTTATCTATTCTAACAACCCTTTTATAATTCTTTTTAATTTGTTTTTCAACAGGAAGAAACAATACGACTTTGTATGTGGCAGCTAGTCAGAGCCCTCAAACATTGTCACGAAAAAAAAATCGTTCATAGAGACATCAAACCCGAGAACCTACTCCTCAACCCGTACGCCTAAACCCTAAACCCTAAACCCTAAACCCTAAATAGTAGACCATAAGTTTTGAGCAACTCCAAACCCTAAGGAATGAAGTATCAGGTGGAGGCTGCACATTCAGCTTCTATTTCAGACTCTCTTTTTATACAAGAATATTCATTAGGGTTTAGGGTTTAGGGTTTAGGGTTTAGTGTGCATCACTTATTTTTTATCTATATATTTACAAATTATTCTTAATATAATATTTTTAATTAATTTCGCCTTTTAATTCACGTTTTATTTATTTCAAAGCAGAACATGTACAATAAAGCTATGCGGCTATACATATATATATATGTACATGCATACATATATATATATATATATACATGCATATATATATATATATATGTCTATTGAGGCTACATTAAATAAAAGTAGATAAAAAGACATCGCAAAGAAAGCTCTTTACTAAGACCTGATAAACAAAGTTTGTTATATGTATTTATTAGGAAGACTCGCACTCTAAAGCTTTGCGACTTTGGCTTTGCGCGTTCAATGGAGGCAGTTAGTGCTGCATTAACTTCTTACGTTGCTACACGCTGGTACAGAGCCCCTGAATTACTAACAGGCGGTATTAACTATGGAAGCCCCGTAGACCTCTGGGCAGCTGGTGAGTGCTATTCATCAATCCTTGCATGCATGCATGCATCCATGCATGCATCCATGCATGCGTCCATGCATGCATGCATAGTTTGCATGCATGCATCGGTTGCATGCATGCAACATTTGCATGCATGCATAGTTTGTATATATGCATCTTTTGGGAAGTTAGTGAATTAATAGCCCTTATATATAAGGTTTATTATGGTTTAGGGTTAATTAGGGTTTAGGGTTAATTAGGGTTTAGGGTTTATTAGGGTTTAGGGTTTATTAGGGTTTAGGGTTTATTAGGGTTTAGGGTTTATTAGGGTTTGTGTGTAGGGTGTATAATGGGTGAATTAGTAGATCAACAGCCTTTGTTTCCTGGAGACAGCGACATCGATCAATTGTTTAAAATTCAGCAAATTTTGGGGCCCCCTACTGAAGAACAAATGAAGGCATTAGCAGCAAGTCCGAGGTTAGAGATAAGATATTTATTTATTTGTTTATTTGTTTATTTGTTTATTTATTTATTTGTTTATTTGTTTGTTTATTTGCCTATTTGTTTGCTTGCTTGTTTATTTTTTTGTTTGTTTGTTTGGTTTACCTTCTACAAGAATAAATGAAGGCATTTGCAGTAAGCCCTAGGTTAGAGTGTATATATATAATATATTCAATATATAAGATATATAATATAAATAATATATATAATGTACATAATATATATATTTACTTATTTATATATTTAGTTTATATTCTAGAGGAGGAGATAAATAATAAATAAACAGAATACATTTATTGTGATAATCGTGACTCACAAACAAAACATGAAGAATAAACAACTTAAGAGAAAGATGTAAAATATAAACAAACAATAAAAATAAAAATATAATCGTACAAACAATTGCAAAGAAACAAATCAACAAAATAAAGATATTTTATTTTGTACTGCACCTGCAATACAATTACTCCTTTCATTTAAACATTTTCATGCATGCATCCAAACGCATGCAAAATTGCATGCATTCAAAAATACATGCAAAGTTGCGTCCATGCAAACTGAATGCATGCATTAATTGCATGCACGCATGCATTCATGCATGCGTGCATGCATGCATGCGTGCATGCATGCGTGCATGCATGCGTGCATGCATGCATGCATGTAAGAAACAGTTTTGTTTGTGTTTTTGTGTTTAGATATTCCCACGTGAAGTTTCCGCAAATGCAGCCGCCTGAGGGATTGCGGAGTCGGTGAGGCGTTGGGGTGTACGTACACCTCAATTGCATGCATGCGAATGCATGCATGCAGCTTATTTGCATGCATGCATTCGCATGCATACAGCTTATTTGCATGCATGCATTCGCATGCATACAGCTTATTTGCATGCATGCAATTAAGATTAAAAGAAGCAGACAGCGAGTGCAACATGAGTGTAATAATACAAATTGAATTGTGATAAAAAAAAGAAAAAGAATAAAAACAGATTCCCGCTATGCATTGCTGTACGTACACCTGAATAGAGCCAAATACGCATCATGGGTCCTCTCTATGCATGCACGCTTTCTGCATGCATGCATTTGCATGCAACTGCTTATATGGATATGCCTGCATGCAACTGACTGCATATAAGTGTGTGCAGTTGTATGCATGTCGCTGCATGCATTTCCCTGCATGCATGCATATACTTGAATGCATGCACTTCACTACATGCATGCACATCACAGCATGCATGCACCTCACAGCATGCATGCATGCATGCATGCATTCATGCAGTTGCATGCAGTTGCATGCATGCATGCAGTTGCATGCAGTTGCATGCAGTTGCATGCAGTTGCATGCATGCATGCATGCATGCATGCATATATTGTGTATGTACAGGTACGGGGGCCGGCTGGATCGGCTGGCTTTGGATTTTTTGCACCGTTTGCTGATGATGGAGCCGCAAAAGCGAATGAGTGCAGCAGAAGCCCTCGAACATCCTTACCTCAGACACTTAGAGCATGCAGCCCCAAGAAGAATACTCGGTATCAATTCACTGCATGCAAACATATATATATATATATATATATATAT